CCAGAGGACAGGGGGACGAAATCAGTCATTGGAAGGGATCATAGCAAACACAGCCCAAAGCTATCGATTTAAGTTATTTCCAAAGTTAGCTGTCCAGCGATCATCCTGTTCCTTCCAACCATTGTTAATATAATAACACTGCTGTACCTTCGGCAAACCACTGCTGCCTGAGTGTTTGCTAGGGCAGGTCGACTGATCAAACATGTGTAGAAGCCACCTGTATGCTCTTGGGGACTGTCTGCCCTCCCCTTCTCCTTCTCTAGCCCTTCATGTCCACCACACCAGGTACAGTAAGGGCCCAATCCACAGCCGAAGGGTTAATGCAATACAAATGGGATAAAAATTCAGGTCTGTGTCCATCTGCACACTCAGAGCCAACTAACCTAAATCAGCATGTTTGCAATGCAGTTCTGCAGAGTGACACCAGCTGAGCAGGAGACGCCGGGATTAGCTATCAGATGATCACAACATGTTGGTTTGGACTAAACTTCCTGGGTAGGAAGAAGGAGAAGTCTCTTTCTCTCAGAAAACATCAGCCCTCTTCCCCCACAGCACCCAAAATAAGAGCTGGAAAATGGCCTGACTTGGGTTTATCCTTGTGTGAATGGTTTATGCAGCTAGTTTATCAAAAATGTTAGGCATTATTTTTCAGGACTCAAGGCAGGAAAAATACTCGGGAGTCCAAAGTTGGCCAGACTCTTAAAAGCTGAGGCCTCTTCAGCAATACCAAGTACCTAATCTTGGTGTAGGACATAAATGACCCAGGTGCATTAGGATTGTGTTAGAAACAATCCCCAGGGAGCTGTGTTGGGGATTGTTTTAGTTCCCCGTAACCAGAGGATGATGAGGCAAGTAGTTTTATCCCCACTTCTTAACTTACCAAAGTTGAAAGAGCACTGTACAGACCAACTACCTAACACATGTGCGGTGCTGTCCAAGTGGCAGATTTTCATTGCCTGCTAAACACAAGTATTTTAGCTGCGGTTAGTAGTGCATGAAGCAATAGCAGGTGCTAAAGGCACGGACACTTGCATAAGGAGAGCTATGGGTTCCCTAAAAGGTTAGAGTCGATCGGCTCAGGCAGTGCCAGTGCTCTCATCAGTGGGTCCGTAGCTCATGGGGCATTCAAATATCAGGTGTAACTGGGACCATTGCTGCGTGGAGTTTGTACCAGAATGGAAATGATTTGGCCTTAGGGCTCGATTGAGACACAGGTCACCTTGCAGGATGCGGTTCGTGGATGGGGGTTATATGGAAAGGAGCTCATGCTGTGTGTCCATACTCATATCTGCACTATTTTGGTGCCTTGATCCAGGTGGTTGAAGTCAATGTGTGTTTGCAGTTGCTCTGATGGGGCTCTATGTGTCAAGTTCACTCGCATTCAAAGGTTCCCCCCACAAGCCTATATAACACTTAAAACCAGCTTGGCTTCCACCCTGGGAGCCCATGGACTGCACAGCCAGATGGGGGTGAATTTAAGCCTCTGACCATGAAACTATTTTTAATCCAGCTAAGTGCTATTAAAGGATATACAACCTGGGATCTAATTGTCTGCCCACTCTTAACCAGGCCTATTTTTGCTTGCCCCCTCCAGTCTGTAAAGGGAAATAACAGTATAAGCCATTTATATAATCATGTAAAAGCTTGGTACCTCATTTTTTTGGGGTGTACTCAAATAGGAAATATGGGTCAGTGGTTAGAGCACAGGCCTAAGCTTAGACAATGCAGGTTCAAGTGCCTGTTTCTCCACAGACTTCGGGTGAGACCTTGGGAGAGTCCCTCAGCCTCTCTGTAGCTCAGTTTCCCATACGTAGAAAGGGGATATTAGCACTGCCCTCTCTTACAGGAATGTTATAAGGATAAATACATTACAGGTTTGAGGCACCCAGATATTGCAAGACCAGGGAGTATCAAAATCCTGTAGGCAGATGTAGGTGGAAAGATCAGTTACTCAAATGCAGAAATGACCTACATTGTGCCTACAAATAATCCCAGATGGAAAAATTGTGCTGACCAATATTAGCTCTTGCAAACTGCAGGTTTGGGCAATCTGGTTCTCAGCTTAGCTAGTCTTCCCTGAGCACAGTGGATTCAAATGTTTGCAACCCGCAGCATATTCAGCATGCATCTGATCAAAGCTAAAAGGGGGGAGGGAGGGTGGATCAGGAAGGCAATGTTGTAAAAGATGATAGTTGTTAAATCTAATTTCAATACTGTGTATACATAACCTTTAACTGGGAGAGGGCTAAACATTCCAGACATGTCCGGTATATTGTAATTTTTGCATCGTTTCACATTACTCACAAGGTACATTAGATGGACACTGAAGGATGAATTATTCTTTTCAGCAAAACATTTTTGTGGAGTAAGTAAATTTATCTTACAGGGAGAGTAAAAGGAAGAAATATGGCATTAAAATGTGCAGATCTGAGTTGAACACATCTCTCTTTTACAGGGAAACCATGATTTAAGTGCACTCTATTACTAATGTTTAATAAAAGCCATAATTCAGAATGTCAGCAAAGGCTGTGTGCATTGAAACTATGATTCGGGGAAAAATGACATGGACATTTTTCAATACAGTAGCTCTTCTTTAAGCCATTTGTCTGGAGGCCTAAATTAGCTTTGAAATATACTTTATCTTTTATAAAAAGGCATTGATACAGCAATTATGCATCATCAATTAATTTTACCTATAGTACTGGAGGGGACAAAGTTTATGCAAATGGTCATTCCTTGACCTTCCATCCCATAAGGAATATTTTGACCGTGGAACTGTGGTTTATAGAAACGAGCAAATAATTTTAAACATATAATTTACCCAGTCAATACAGCCCCTTTTCCTTCTGGTCTATTATCAATGGGCTGATCATGATTTTCTTGATTTATGAATACCTTGTGATGTTTTTTAAAGTTTGCATTGTTTGCATACAAGTATCCCAGGGTGCTTGATACTGAATATTCAACACCGGCTGGTTAGTTGCTATTGGTCAGAAGTCACATGGCACCTCTGAGCTCTAACTAGAGGACGGTGAACGCTGCCGGAGCATCAATGTTTTTGCCAGCGTATGAAAGATGAGATTTCTATAAATATTTAGGCCCATGACACTGGAATTCGCTTTCAGCATATATTCCTGAAGGTAGAATGCAATTGTGTGAAGGCTGAACATCAAAAGAAATGCAATGGTAATTGCAAAAGCTCTGGCAAACTTCAGTGGAACTTATTTTGCAATATTCCTCCAGCTCTACAGGTGGTTTAAGAGAGCAGGTCAGAAGCTACACCATACGCTAAGCTGACCTGAAAGCAAGAGATCCAGAATGGCAGTTTAGGGCCCAGTCCCATTAACCATGAAGAGCCCTGACTCAGGTGAGCAATTCTCTGCTTTCTTGGGAAAGAAATGAGGGTTCAAACCCTTCATGCTTGCATTGCACAGAGTCAACATTGCGCACCAGACAATGCCCCGGAGCTTGTGTGCATCTGTTCAGCCAGTGCAAAGTGACCCTCGGGTGGGTGACGTGATGCAGCAAAACTCCAGCGTGCCAAGACAGAGATAGCACCATGCCTTCCACGGGAATCTATGGTGCATGCAATGGGGAAGTATTGCCTTTACGGGGTTGCAAATGAGGGGATTCAGGACTGAGAAAGCCAAGGTCCCTTCCTCCACAGTTCCGCTGCATGCTCCTTGGCAATGTGAAAGACCCCAAACCAGGACTTCACCCCAAGTGCATTTATATTAAGGCTACGTCTTGATGATGGCAGTGCCCTCAGGCCAGCTGGGCTGCCCTGAGCCCAGAAGCAGCATAGCGGACTAATGGGCACAGTCAGTCCAGCTGTCTGCCACATGGATGCTCTAGTTGGGGCTGGTCCTGCGTTGAGCAGGGGGTTGGACGAGATGTGACCTACTGAGGTCCCTTCCAACCCTCATTTATATGATTCTATGGACATAGCCAGAATGAGATAGCAAATGGTAGAAGTGGGCTCCAAAGTGTCTCCTGGCAGCCCACGCTCAGTACTGACTTGCAGGAGAGCAGAGAGATTTGGTAAACGGCAAATAAGCTGTTTATAAGCCCCCCACTCCCTGTACTATTGCCTAGAGGCAGCTGGGAGGCTGGAGTGCAGCACTGCAGGGAGCTGGCTGCAGCATGACCTGGCCTGAAGGATTATTTTTCATCTGCTGCAAACTCTCTCCTTTTTTTTTTTTTTTTTCTTAAAGCAAATGCTGAAGACTCTCGAGCTGCTTGCTCCCAGGTGAACTCCAGCTACTCTCCAGGTGCCAACTTGCTGAGCCAATGCAAAACAGGGCCTGTGCCACTGAGATGAACTTCGGTACGGCCCACACAGGTGGTGCAGAAGGGCTAGAAAACAGCTGGGAAGTCGGTCTATCCGTCACAGGTACATACTGCCCTCAGAGGCATTAACCCAATTGCAGCCTTCCCTCGTACTGGGAAAGGCCCATGCATCTTGCACTCTGCTATCTCCTCTGGCTACACGTTTGTGCTCTCCTGAGCACTGCTTTCTGCACTTCGGAAAATGAGCATTAGCTGGGTCTGCACAGGCACCCTTGGGTTTCATATCCCTGGGAAGGGCGATTCCCACCTCAGAGCTATTGTTTCTGGCTCTTGCTCTGGATACACTCGGGTTGTCTTTGAAGGATTTCAGGAGAACCACACAAAGAGCCAAACCTCCTTTTTATGACAGCTTAATCTTGAGGGAACATTTTAGAAGCTTCTCCACTCCCCAGCGATGCCTTTATGCCTCCCACCTGGGAACGCTGGATGTTCAATTCCTACTCAGACTACTTAGCTTGTAACTCATGATACTCCAAGAAGGACCAAAGCAAATCATCGTGTCGAATATCCCCATGATCTTTAGGGCATGGTTAGCTACTTTCACTGCATGTTTCCCTACCAGCCTTTCAGTAGGGCACTTCCCCAGCATCTGGAAGGCACCTCACTTTGTGCAGGGCTTTCAAACACAGGCTGCGTGCAACCAGGCACCACTTCATTTCCCAGTGCAAGTTAGGGTATTGCATATGGAGAATTAGAGGTGCCCATTCAATCTTTGAGCATGGATAACATAGTCTGGCTACCATTCAGTCGTTGAGCATGGATAACATAGTTTGGCTACTATTCAATCTTTGAGCATGGATAACATAGTCTGGCTACCATTCAGTCATTGAGCATGGATAACATAGTTTGGCTACCATTCAATCTTTGAGCATGCATAACATTGTCCATGAACCTCATGTTGTTCCATGCAGGTAATGGGATTCATCCTTCCCAGCCTAGGATGTGGCCCAGCACTGCCGTGTGCTGTTAACACTTGGCATCTTGGCTCTGCTTCAGTGGTGTGGTGCCACCATGCCAGAGGGTTTCTATTGCTCTCTCTTTGGATCTTTATCACTGTGGCTCTTTAGGATTAAACGGGGCTATTCAGTTTGAAGTCCTGTATGCTGCAGATCATTATGAATGCAGCAAGATATTCAAAGATCTTTTTTAAATGTATCCAGCAGCCCAGTAAAGCTGGGCATTAACAGTGCCAGATCCTCAGCTTGGGCCAATAGGGACTATGCCACTCTACATCACCTGAGGATCCAGGCCATCAACTCTGCCGTCCTTTTAAAGTCTGACCTGCAGCTAAAACCTTTCCTGGTGCTAACTGAAGCCCTTTTAGGAAGACTGAAGCTGCAAGCTACAGGGCAGGACTGACCCTCTCCGCTCTGTTCCCAGGGAAATGCCACACGGTAGTAGTTCTCAGCCCAATCAGCATACCACCCCTCAATTAAACTCTCTTTAAACTTTAAAGGTATACTTAAATGTATTTTTATGGCCCCATTACTTTCTCTTTATAACCCGAGGTGAAGGCTGGAATCCTGTCTGAGACGTTTTAAAGGTTACATGAACAATTCAGCTCTCTCTCATCAAGTCCTTTCATATTTTACTTTAAAATCCCAAACAAGCCCCACCAGCCACCCTGTGCACAGCAGGGCAGGCCACGGCACAGGGGCTGGAAGAACAAAGGGACTCCTGCTACCCACAGCAGTTTATTCCATTGGCCCCGCTCCAGCATCATGCCCATGCGATTCCAGCACAATTACAGTGAAGGCAACACGGAGACGTCGTTGTAAGACGTGCACAATGCCCAGATCCTGCCCAGCGCTTAAGCATGTGCTTAACTTGAACTAAGAGTTCAAGCTGACTTCAGTTATGTGTCTGTCGCCTGTGGAGCCATGATTTGTCAGTGTTTCTACTCCCAAGTTTAAGTGCTTTGCAGGATTGGGATCAAAAGAGAACCAGACTTACACGGCATCATTGCTAGTTTATGCCTATCTGAGAGAAGACTCAAACCCAAGACACACAGTTTGGCAGAGCTCTGTAAGCTCTCTCTTAACTTCCCTTCCACCCCTGGGTTCACCAGGGGCCCAACCTTTCCAGTCCAGTTTACCAACCTGTGCATGATGTGGAGGCAGAATTGCTAATGATGGGTATGTAAACTTTGGCATGGAGCAATGCCAATATTTTGCATGGTTACGCAGTGCTGCCATCAATATTAATGCGGTGCTAATATGTGAAGTTCCACCAGCTGCGTCCATTCTCGAGGGATACTTCAACTATTTATATTCGTAGTAATGAGCAAGCTGTTATTATATAATCAGGCTGTTTGAGAAGGCTTTGGAATAAAATTCTCTCTGTGAATTAGTGAGCAACTGAACCATATTTAGAGCCATGAGACACCATAGATTTAGTGGCTCAGGCTTACATAGTTGATAGAGCCAGAGAAGGATGGTTTTGAGGAAGAG